TTGTGGTAAAACATGGGTAGATGAATTAGATGATGTGTGATGAAATAAAAATTGATAAGAGGTATCGATGTTTAAGACGATTTAGTCATCTAGCAGAGTATAGACAACGACCACATACTATTCTAGATAGTCCAGTGGAACGTTAGCAGACTCGTAACCTGTAGGTATTTTTGAACTATGTGTTCATTAGGTATTTTTGAACTAAGTGTTCATTAGGTGTTTTTGAACTATGTGTTCATTAGGTGTTTTTGAACTATGTGTTCATCCGATAAGTATCATGTACAAAGTTCTTCTTTTTGACACTATTGTGTGTCGGGGTACGGGAGTACTTTATTAGTATTTTCCCTATACTTTTTATTTTGAAGAGCTTTGGAGTCTTCGTTTCTTTTATGAAGTGATCGGACGAGCTTCATGTGTCAGCGTTTCCGTTCACGATATTCAGACCACTGCTAGGCAAAGTTCGATGCTGGATAGGGTGAGTCTGGAGGTAAAATACCTCACGATATTCAGATTACTGCTAGGCAAAGTTCGATGTTGGATAGGGTGAGTTTGGGGGTAAAAAGCAGCTTCGTCAGTTTGTTGTTCATATCGATCCTTTAGGCTAGATCTTGTAAGATCATTGTATAGGATCAGTACGTGGGGATCGACGTTCGTTAGTGCTTGTAGTATAAACCTCGGGCAGCGATGGACTTCATGCCTATTCCCTAGGATAATCCTTAGGAATGAAGGATAGATGATTCTTAGGGTAGATCCTTAAGATTAAAGAAGATAATGGGGATGGGTAATTGGGTTGATTGTTTGATGATTAAATATAATAATTATATTATTATGGGTTGAAAACCCTATGTACTCACCAAGTTTCCCAACCTGACCCACTCAAGTTTATTTGTATCACATGTGTCGATACGAAGCTACTTTACACTGAGAGATTTAAAGGAGATGTAGATCACTAGTGTAAATAAATGTAAGGTCTGTTTATGCTTATGTTTCAGTATTGACGATGACATCCCAAAGTCTTAATATGAACAAAATACATTTCTTCGGAAATGCTTTGATAATATATTATCATGTTTTTATGGGAACAAATTCCGCAATATATTTATTTAAAAATATACTCTGATTTTCAAATAAAGCATAAACAAATCGGTATTTTCTGGCCGTGAAATTTGCGGATGTCACACAGATCGGAACATTTGCTCATTGACTCGCCGAGTTCATCCTTAAACTCGTCGAGTCCTGCTTCATATTAGTTGGGACATTGTCTTGAACTCGCCGAGTTCATCCTTGATCTCGTCGAGTTCTTTTGATCTTCAAGTCCATATTCATGTCCATCTTGTTGAGTCCTCTTCTAGACTCAACCACATCGATCAGAACAGAAAAGGTTGGGGAACCATAACCCGACTCGCCGAGTCCTATGAGCGACTCACTGAGTCCCCCAAATTCCAAGTCTACCAAGTCGATTTCAGTCGGTCTTAATGCATCTAGAACATAGATCTGACCTCCTAGGGTCGATATTTCACGTAAAGTTACAAACTTTACGTGCATGCAAGGTGTTATGAGCTAAGAACACCATTTCCAAGTCTAAAATGGAGTTTAGGCTAAAGGGAAGGGCTAAAGCATGATAATTTTGTAAACTTTATGGCTAAACGGGTTGAAAGGGATCTGGATCTGAAGTTACAACTACAGATTACACTCCATACTCAAAAAGGTTCACAAAATTGCTAAAATATGGCCCTAAAATCAAATATAGAGAGATCTAGCAATAGAGAAGTCAAGGAAGCAACTTTATACCTTAAAGGGACTGGAAATGGAGCTTGAACCCTGGATCTACTGCTTCCTTGAACCTTCTAGCTCCTTCTTCTTCCTCCTTTAGCTTCAAGATCACATAAATACTCTCAAAAATGACTCACACACTTGTAAAAGCTCAAGGGTCACGAGTTAGGGTTTTCTGGACTAAGGGAGACGATGGGGGCTGCATGGGAGGCTGGTTAATGTGTTTAAATAGGGTGCAAACCCTAAAATTTAGGGTTTCATCCAAACAGGTCTACTCGTCGAGTCGGGGCTTCCGACTCGGCGAGTAGACTCTTCCACCCGCGTCCAATCCTTCGCATCTACTCGACGAGTTGGGCCTCCAACTCGTTGAGTCCCTGAGTAAACATGAAAAGACTTATAATAAAAATACGTACCGGGAACCGGGCGTTACAGCACCCTATCGCCTAACACCACCGGAGATGTAGGAGTTGTCTACACAGCTTCAAGAGATGTTAGACAAAGGGTACCTCAGGCCAAGTAGTTCGCCATATGGAGCACCGATTATATTCGTGAAAAGGAAGAATGGGTCGCACAGGATGTGCATTGATTATCGGGAGTTGAATAACCTGACAGTGAAGAACCGTTATCCACTTCCGAGGACTGATAATTTATTTTACCATCTTCAGGGTGCGTCTTGGTTCTCCAAGATTGAATTAAGACCAGGTTATCATCAGATGATGGTCAGAGATGAGGATGTACAGAAGACAGCCTTCAGGACTGATTATGGTCATTACGAATTTGTGGTGATGTCATTCGGGCTCACCACCGAAAACGTTCATGGATCCCTTGGGCTGGTCACGATGTGAGAGTCAGCTAATGGTGATGCCGACCGTTAACTTTGGCCCTGACCGTTGACTTTGATCCTGACCGTCGATTGGTTAACCTGGGTTGACTTTAGGTCAAATTGCTAGTTCTAAAGTATATACTACGTTTGAACCTTGTTTGATTCGATAGGTGAGTTGTAGCACCTGTTTCATGGTATTGAGTTGTGGTTTGTTTGACTTCATGAGGAAGATGAGTCTTATCACTATACTATGTAGGTTGCTAGATTGTCTCTATGACTCTTGCATGAATTATTGTGGTTAGATCACAAAACTTGTATGAAAGATTGTGGTTGGATCACAACACTTGTATGAAAGACTGTGGTTGGATCACAACACCTGTATGAAAGAATGTGGTTGGATCACAACACTTGTTTGTCTTTGTGACTTGAATGGAAGACCATGGTTGGATCATGGCAGAAAGGCTACGGCTGGGCTGTAGTCCGGAAGTGACTGTAAGACTATGGTTGGATCATAACATTCACATAGGTTGTAACACACCCCTAGGGCTGGGCCCACTGATATGTTTGGTATGTGGTATTTTGGGAACTTACTAAGCTTTGTGTTTATGGTTTTGTGGTTTAAATAATTTTAGGTAATTCTATTTCCAAAGGGAAGGTCTTGGCTTGACTGCACAATATCCCTTGATGATTTTTCCGCATTGACTACTTTCACTATGATGTTTGAGATACATTTTACCATGATTTATTTTGGAACAAATGGTTTATGGATTTGATGGGTTGAAAATCAAAAAATTTATTAGTATTTTTGAGACGTTACAGTTTAGTAGAGGAGAATATTGTTACTAAGGATGGAAAAGTCTCTCTTTATTGTTGGGATTGCTCAAGACACCTTAGAAGGGAGCATGAGTCTAGACAATTCTCCGATTTGACTAACTTGTTGGATGATTTTCAATTTTATGAAGGGTGTGACAAGTGGTTGTGGAAGGGCAATGGAAGCAATGGTTTTTCTGTTAAATCTCTTCATGATATAATGTCTAACAACATTGGTGAAGATTACTTGAAGACACTTAAATGGGTGCCCTTAAAGGTCAATTGTTTTGTTTGACGCTTATTCAAAAACAAAATTCCCACTTCATTGAATATGATCAAGCGTGGTGTTCAGATTTCCTCCTCCGTATGTCCCTTCTGTCATTTTAATGATGATTGCACAGATCATGTCTTATTCTCATGTTCTTTTTTTGTTTCATTCATATGGAGATGGATGGTGGACCGGTCTTCTTGCTTACATGTGCAACCCTCTTCTTGTGATGAGTTATTAGATTTACTCAACACCAATGTTGGAAGAAAAAGATTGCAAAATCGAGGTTGTCAAATTGTCTATACTATCCTCTAGATGATCCGTAAGGCGCACAATGCTATTCTCTTTAGGAACGAAGGGTGGGCGATTATGTTAATTGTGGATGATACTAGTATTAATTTCTCTACTTGGATTAAATGTAGATCTAAATGTAGCACCATTGATTGGGCCGTTTGTAGGGATGTCAAAAAGTCTCGTGGGACCCCGAACTCGTAGGGCCCTCGATCCCATATAGAGGATAATTGGGGACGGGGGCGGGGGTAGGGGTAAGGTTAACCCCCGTTTTAATTTCGGGGGGCGGGGACGGTGGTAGGGAGTCCCGTCCCGAACCCCCATGGGGGCCGCATTCATAAATTATATGTGTTTATATATATTAATTATATAAATATAATAAATAATAACAATGATTTTAAACTTCCAAAATTCAACAAAAAATTATGTTTTTAAGCTGTTATTATAATATTTTTGAGATAAGATAACATTTTGTTTTTAACATGTAAAATTATTTTATAGATAACTACTTTTAACCTAAAAAAACAACTTTTTTAAGCAAAAAAAAAACAATTTCTTTTAGCCCAATAAAAAATATCCCAAAATCAATCTGGGGCGGGGCAGGGTTAATCCATTAATTCGGGGGCGTGGACAGGGGTTGCCCTCGTTGACATCCTAGCCGTTTAATGGAGCTCTTTCCCGATTTTGAACTGTTTCATATAATTTTTCGCGAGCTTTTCGCTTGAGTTGTTTTTTGTTTTTTTTAATATATCGCTTGTTGTTCCGAAAAAAATTACATGATAAACTAACTCAAATCGAAATTCAAGCTTCATTTGCAGTTGCTAAAACATTGAATGATTTGGGATAGTGGAATTATATGAAACATATGAAGAAAAGAAAAAGGATTACACCTTCAAAACGATGTAAAACTATTTAGATATATGTATACAGAAAATTCTGTTGATTAAAATTTAAAAAGTTAGGACAATCAAGAAAAAAAAATTAACTAACCCTATCTTAAGATATCAATCAAACATTTAAATATTGAAAACCTAATCAAGGTTCGTGAGCCGGTGATGTCACTGGCTTTAATCTCTTGGCACGGTCACCGGCGCCAAGATCGCCGACCACAATATCCGGGACGTAAACAGCTTCATTCAAAGCAAGCATCGCATCTACATAAATCAAAAAATTCTCAGGAGTAATAACTCCCGCAAAAAATGGCGCCTTCCTTTTCCCGGTCGCCGGAACCCGCTTGGCTTTTCTTGGAGCTAGTGGACAAGTTGTCATTACAGGAATTCTATGCTCCGTAGCTGTCGGAGTCTTGGGATTATCGTCGTCATTACTGACCTTAAATTCTCCGGTAGGATATGGTACTTGGACCTTCAAACCACCAGAAGATGAACTTGTATCTTCTTGATTGTCTTGAGTGCCATTCTCGAGTGCATTGGGTGTTGTTAGTGATGACGATGAATTGCACTGGTGATCTTGGATATTGTGAAGCTTCAAGTGATCTATGTCAGATTCGGGAAGAGACATGATTAAACGATCAAGATTTGAAGTACCCATGAATGAAGATGAATAAACAGGAGAGAAGTGAAGAGTTCTTAGAACTAGAGAATTTAAGGTGAGAGACAAAGACGAGAAGGGTTTCCTATTTAGAGTATAAAGCAAACCCCAAGACAAGCAGTTGTATATTTTATATGTTTATCTTACCAGCGGATTTGAAAAATCTATCAATCACCTAATTAAAGAAAAACTACTTAATTATTATATTGCATTCAAAATATTATATCACTTTGGATAATACTTAATAATTATTGTATTGCATTAAATATTGTATACAACATTCAGCTAAGTAGTTAATAATACTCCCTACGATCATTAGACTAATCTATATTAGATTAAATACGTAGGTTTACTTTATGTGTATCGTATAGTTAAGTCCACTGGAATTAAGCAGTTATGCATGTAAATGCTTACATATATATATTTTCTTTTAGAAGTTATATTTTGTACATTCCAAAAATGTAACATTCTTATTGGATTATCCCAAAAAATACAATAATTTTGGTAAGTTTATTGAAGTTAAATTACCTTTTTACACATTAATATCATATATGATTACTAGTAATTAACTTTAATTTTAATCTGTCTTTCAATTATATGATCTATTTGGAAACGTTTTCAGTATTTAATAAATTAATGATGTATAAGAACATATAAGAAAACAGTTTAACATTTTTATTTATTTATTTATTTATTTTGTCTTTTTAATAGTATTGTTATGCATGTACGAAGGTACACTAGGTTGGGAAACATACATACATAGCAAACACAGAAAACCTCTAATTCGGCGAAGGATCCAATGAAAACAGTCCCAGATTCAAACATTCTAAATACGAATATGCATCATCATTCGTTCACACTTTCCTTTTTAATTGTTTTTTAAAGAATTTATATTTTATTTTATTATTCAACTTTTTATTTTTAATTATAGCTTTTTCTATCACCTCTACAAACCTCAATGCTCCACGAACCACGTGATTTACCTACAAATCTCTTTCACAAAAGCTTCAAAACTTAACGCACGGATCTGATCTCATCTTTATGTACAATGCAGTTATAATACATTTTTAATAATTATAAGATTCTGATACGATTTACAACTAAAAGTTATTATACGTACGATATAAATTATAAAGTTATTTGGCAAATTTAATCACCCTTAAGGTTATTTTTAATGTTGTTAGGTGACATTATTCTCTTTTGCATTTTTGGTATATATAACAAAGGTTCTAAATTGAGTTGTTGGGTTGACTTTTTAGAAAGTTAAAAGTAGCCATCATAGATTGCTTGGGTTTCACCCATATACATATGATGTATTCTCCTTTTTATATATGGTGGTATATATTAAAATTTATTAATCTTAAAATTGATAAAATTAACAAATTTTATAGTATTTATAAATATTTTTTTATTGCTGCGAAGAAAACCCGTGTTTACATTACATGCATATTGCAAACTATAAAAGAGAATACAACTACCAGTATAAAATAATAAACAATAAATTTATTTTATTTTTTGATTTTCAAATATGGCTTACATTTATAGTTTGGATCGTAAATAGCCGGCAGTGGGTTTTCGAAATTTGAATTTTTTGGTATATTCCTACAAAAATATACATAATTTTGAATTTTATTTATTTATTTGTTCCCATATAATATGCCTACATATCGAATAACATTTCAAATTTTGATCAATAGAAAGTTGACATGGACTATTTTATATGAGAAACACATAAAATGTATTAATTAATTAATATATTATTCCCCTAAATTTCCCCTAATAGATGGGTAGAAATTTAATTAATTATGAGTGTATGATACATAAAAGATGGTGTGGGGTATTAAAATAAAGAAAAGGTGATGAAGACACAGACTCTCATGGGCACATAATCAAGTGCGTCTTTCATGCTTATGCTTAAAATCATTTTGTTACCATCTCCCATCATAATGTTCTTTCTCTATGTTCCATTTATTTAATTCCAGTTCTAAAGGTGAGCATATGTCTTTGTTATATAATTTTTTAATTACTTACTATTCAAAAGAATTAAATTTGGATAGTTAGGGTATTTCAAGTAGTTAGCACACTAAGAATGCAATAATGTATTTGGTTTCTGATTTAAGTTTATGTTACACAAAAACCTATTAAATAATGACAATTGTCATGTTAGTGATTCAGAATCTATAAAGGGGCATCTTTTTATGAATGTATTGCGATTAACTTTTGAAGAGTTATAAAATACCATTTTTATATGAATCACACAAAGTAAGAAGAATAAAGATAGGGATGTCTTGAACGATATAGATCACTTGCATATGCAGGTTTAGATGTGCACAAAATCGATCCTAGGAAAACTAGTCCATGGGCTAAAGAAGCGTTGACGATGTAAAATACAAAATTTATAAGATTTTAACTTCACTTAAATACAAAATTTATTTATTTGATTATAAATTACAAAAAAGGGAAAGAAGTAAGAAACTTAAATTTGTATAAAACTATAAAATTTCATCTTTGTCGTAGTATCGCATTTGGCATGGTCATTTTTATTGCATTAGTCTAGAATCTTGATCGCCTTGACGCCTTCATTGTCTTCATATATATTTTTAAAGATATGGTGATGGGTCAAACAAAAAAATTGGGCCAAATTTTTAGTGGGCCTACCTAACATGAAATTAGGATACTCTTCTACTTGATGCTCAACTCACCTTGGCTTAGGGCCTTAGGCTACTCTGTATATTGTCTCAGTCCAAATATATTATTCCCTTCAACTACGAAAAAAAATAAAATATTGCAAGAATATTTTTACAAACTTTTTTCATATCTAACAACCACGGTTCTAAAAAATACATCATGCCGGCAATGCGCGACTTCTACATCTCAAAAACTCTCATGACGGTTCTCCTAGGCATGAGGTGTTTTTGAAGGGGTTTTTTTCTTATGACCGGGGATAAAATTAAGTTTTTTGTTAAATTTTTATTACTAGTTGTTGATATACAGTCCTAAAATTTTGATATTTTTTATATAAATATATAATTGTTCGATTTCTTCTCTTTTTGTATTTATTCAAGTTGTTCAAGGTTAATGATGTGTGATCTGGTATTGTAGGGTCTAGCTATAAACCAATTTCACGATAGAGGTTTGCTCCTTATTTGTCGCTTAACACATATTGGAAATGGGTCGTCGGTGCCCTCAGAAAATGAAGGCTCGTGGCTTTAGGATTTTGTGGGAATATCAATTTTATGCCTTTTGTTCTTTGTTTGTTGTGTTTGGATAAACTAGAAGATCATAAGCACGTCTTCTTGGATTGCAATGTGTCTTATTAGTTATGGGTGTAGTTGATCAATTGGTGTGATTTGGTTTTGTCGAATCGCAATTCCATTTACAAAGTTTGCGACAATATTGATATGTTGTATTTATTTTCTGCTATGAAGAATGCAGTTCAAGCCATTTTTAACCATGTTATAGGTCGTGTGGAACTATCGCAATTTCGTCACTTATGGTACAAGGAACATGCGAAAAGACATACTTTTTGATTTTATAACGACGACTTCTTATAATTTGTTCGTATTTAGACATCGCAAGTTGAAGGTTAGTTGGGTGTTTTAGATGCAAAATCATATTGCCATGTAAACGTTTCATAGCTCCTCGATAGTTTTTTATCCATAAATTCCAGCCGTAAACAAATCTAACTAAAAACATGTATATGTATATAATATAATTATAAATTACATATAAAGTTTGTCTTAAGAAAACATTGAAAAATATTATGGTCTCGTTATTACTCATAAATTCGAGACTTGACATTACCGTCACACTACATGCATCACGCCAATTAAAACTTGGCTAACAACATATTAAAAAAACCTTACGTTTAGTTTTTATATTAGTTTAGATTAACTAATATCTACATGATCTAATTTGAAAAGATTATTATATATGTAATTGGCCATGTATTAATCTCTTGTGTAGTTGTTGAAGAGCTTTGGAAGTTTTTGAGCAAGTGGTGCGATATCTCTATTCTGAGCTTTCAAGGGGTCGAAGACGTTATTATTTGGTTAGATTCTGTTCGTTTATCTAACATGAAACGGGGAGCGTTGGAAGGCCTAATCACGACTTTGTGGTGGCTTTTATGGAATTTTTGAAATGGTACTCTTTTTGGTGATCAAAGAGTTAGACGGAATATGTTAGCTGATAGTTTGGTTGATTATTCTTATAATTGGTTTGTGTTTAGGAATAAAAAAGTGGGTGTTAGTCGGTTGTCGTGGTTTTTAAACCATATTTTAACTATTCCGTGGTAATTGGTTTTTGTTTGCTTTTTGCTAACCTTTTTTTTTTATCTAATTATCATTCCGTCGGGGGGGGGGGGGGGGGGATATGGGATAAAGATGTAACAAGCCAAATTTTACCACAAATTTTTCAGTTTTATTTTAGCAAAAACCTCAAGTATCATAAAAACTAAATCAAAAAAATATCAGGTGTATCAATACACTCATCCCAAATCAGAGTATCAAAAATGTGGAAATCATAAAATCTACAGGCCAGAGTGTACAGTCATGCCTTCGCATTCCCGCGATCATTCGAAGTACCTAAAACACATTTAATCCACAATTGTAAACATAAAGCTTAGTGGGTCCTTCCTAACATCTCCATACAACACATCATAATAAACAAACTATGGGTTATCAGCAATCCTAGTGGGCTAACAACACGCTATATGGATTAACAACACATTTTAGGGGTTATCAGCAACCTGGATTCTCAACAATTAAGACCCATCTGGTCACATACATAAATACCGCACAGGTAAATGTAGTGAGAAGACTCACCTCACAGATAACAGCTAAACAGGACAACTCACATAGAGTAGACAGGTACAACAAGTCACCTAATAACAATAAGAAATACCCTCCCAGACTACACCCTTAAAACCTTAGTTGATCCCCCAAAAGTCAACCATGGTCAAAAGTTAACATTGGTCAAGAGCTTTAGGACTTAAAAAGGTC